ACTTGGTTAAGCACATTAGCCTTTTCTTGACATAAATCTAAGAACTTATAAAGTTACTGCCTCACGAATTCAATTGTACTTTTTCTTCCAACTTACATTGTGGGTTGTGAACACACTTTGGAAGTACCTTTTATCAGTACAGTGAGAACAGGCCCATGCCAACGCTTACTCATGCTCCACTTTCCCTCTTGTCAACTTTTTTTTAACCGTGTTCCTGAAACTCTTCAGTGGACTCACTAGAACTGAACCATGAAAGACAGCCAGCCTCGAACCCCACAACTCTAGGTGCTTCTAAGTCTTCCCTGCCCTCTCTCTCTGCCCTCCTTTCTGTCCATCTTTCTGGACTGCCCCTGTGTTGTAGCTTTTCCTCGCCTCACTTTGCACACTCTCTTGGCACAGACATATTCAGTCATATGGTATCTGCCAGGTGTCGGTGTCCAGATGCTCATCTATACCCTGGAACTTTTTTCTGTCTTTTAGACATGGCTCCAGCCCCTCTTGTGAGCAGCGTTCCTGGATGTCCATGGGTGTGCACTTTCTAGGCTCTTACCCTTGGAACTGGTGTTCCATCTGTGCTGTCTCACCTGGAAGCATAAATGGCCCTGCACTTGAGGCGCTTAGTATCCTCCTTCTCACGCCACACACCGTCTCAACCACTGAGTCCATCTGATTTTTTCTTCCTCTCCTAAATGCTCTCCTCCTTGCACATGTGTTTGTTCTCCTGTCTCACTGGAGGCTGTATCTAGTGTCTCTTGTCTGTACCACTCAGCACCAGGATGCTTGCTTTCCTGCCTCCACCCTTGCCCCATTCAGCCCATCCTTTGTTTAGTTTCCAGAGTGATACTTTAAAATATGGAGTTGACCCTATCCCGTTGGTACTGGTTCCCGGTGCCTAATGTCACTTTGCCCACACAGCCATACATTGACCTGGCTAGTACCTGACGTCATTTCTCTGTATTCACAGACTCTGCCCCACAGTGGTAATCCAGCAGTGGCCGCTGTTTTTCTCAGCCCACCATGGCTCCCCTACTGTTATTAGTTGGTGGTTAACTCTCGCTGCCTCAAGCCTAGGAGATCTTGGAAAACCAACCTGAGGAGCCATGGGGAAGAGAGCAGCTTAGGAAATCATGGCCAGTAAAATACTAAATCATGTCTTTTCACTGGCTCTGCCTGGGTCTCCAAACCAATACAGACTAGGAGCCTGAGGTGTTGGGCACAATCCTTAATCATTCTAAGCCTCAGTCTCCTTGCCAGTTGGTAAGATGAGGGCAGTGATTATACCTGCCAGTGTGAGATTGTGAGATTGAATTTATCCATGAAAGACAAAGTTATCCAGCATCTGGTTCTCAGCAAATACATAAAACAGCAATAATTAGGATGTTAGATCTCAGTAGTTTGGTTAATAACTCCAGTGTAACACTGAACAGGAGAAGCGTGACAGTTGGCTTGCCGTCTTTTTTCTGATTCACTTGGTTGTTGTTCTTTAGTAAGAACTTTAGATTTTGTTCTAAGGGGGCTATGCTGGTCTGCCAGTTTATGCCTTCCCTCTAACACTTGGGCCAGATTCTGGTCTGAAACCTCTGAATAAATAACTCTTTTGAGGTCCAGTGTCATTTTCCATTTGTGAGTATCTGGCTTAGAAACCAAGTTTTAAGATTTAGTTTGCCTAGGTAGTGTTTAATCTTTGGAAGCTCATATATATTCAGGGAATCACAAGCTTGCCTCATTCATCACAGGAACTCCAGGTCAGGGAACAGTGTCTGGCTTGCAGCAGGAGGTCAGCAGATAGATGTTTCGAAGATGAAATCTCAGAACCCACAGTATCAGTGACACAGCCAGACTTCATGTCTAGCAGTGGCTTAGGGATGGTTTATTCTCTTGTGCCTGCCTCCTACCCTGCCACAGCCCCTGTAGAATTCCCAGCTGAGCCTTGGCAGTGCCTTTCAGCTCAGATCATGATTTGCTGGAAAGGCCCAGCTGTTGCTCAGTTACCATAGCTTAGAACAGAGGACCCCATTAGAGTTCATGGAATGATTGCAAGGCTGTAAGGGAGCAGAAACAGGCCCGGGGAAGGAAGTCTATCTTCAGCTGAAAGAACTCTGCAGCCCAGTGCTGACCTCCCTGTATCAAAAGCAGAGCTTAACAGCCTCAGTCAGTGTGGGATGGTGTGGCAGAATCTTCTGGGGGGTGGGGGGGGGTAGGCTGCTCCTCCTTCCCCAGGCCTTCCAACTTCAAGAATTAAGATTGTGATAAAAATCTGTAGCTTGGAGCTTGTTTCTTACTCAGCTTTGTCTGTGTATTTTCCCTCCTGTTCCATATATTTTGGCCAGTTTTCCTTTCATTAGCAGTTCTTCTACACAGTCTGCGTGGAACTGAAAGGCATTGAAATTCCCAGGAGACAGTTTATCTGCTTTCCCCCATGAAGGCTGGACTTACTGCCACAAGCCTGAATTCAGTTTACAGGACCATTTCTTACTTTAAATCTTCCTGTTTTCCCCTAGCTGTTGCTCACTGACCACCCCATGTGGGCAGCATAACATTCCTAATTTCTTTTCTTGATGTCTGTAAATGCTAACTTTCAAAAATAGTTAATAATATTTGCTTATTTAGAGAGGAAAGCACTAGAACACAGTATGACTTTTGTTTCAACTTTGTAATAACCCCATATGGAGTTTTAGACCTTTGTTCTCAGCTCAGTTGACACATGAGAAAGCTTGACCAATTTTGCCTTGTTTCTAGTCTCTGTGGGTCAGACCACCAGGGTTGTGTTACACAGGGATGTGGTACCGTGCAGCGCCACGCAAAGCAGTCTGTGTCCCAAGGTGCTTTTGATGTAGGGTATCCCCTGGCACATTCTGGAGCTGGGTGGGTCCCATATTAACTGCTCTTGTCTTTCTCTTGGAGAATGGCCTTCTTGGGGTACAACAGTTTCCCTTCAAGGATTGAGAGTGGGCTGGAGTTGTAGCTCAGTAGTGAGGTGTTTGGCTAACAAGTAGGAAACCGTAGATTCGGTCTCCAGAACAAAAAACAGTAGCGTTCACAGGACATCCTTCCCTGGACTGGAATGACAGGCAGTGAGGGACAAGGGCAGATTCTAGAGGTCAGTGACATTCCGAAGTGATTGAGTGGTAAAAGTGGTGATAGTGCCTGCCATCTTCTTGTGTCTGAAAGATCAGCTGATTAAGCAGCAAGTTGTGAGTATGAAATTGCTTTGAATTATGTCTGAGGAATGTCCCAGTGGAGAGAATTGGAAGACAACTGGCTGTCTCTCGTTACTTGTGGGTAGGAGACAGGCCACACTGGATGTTCAGATCAATAGCGTGAAAATAATTATGGGATCCAGAGCAAAAAGACGGAGCAGGTATCAAGATAGCTGCCCAGGCAGAGAGACAGCCCGGAGTGTCAGGCCTGGGGCCCGATCTTGTCAGTTAAGAGTCCAGTAACCTGCTGCAGTGTCCTGTTACACCAGGAGGTGGCACCAACTGTCTCAGATGGGGACATGGGGTCTGACAAGACGGTGCTGGCCAAACCTTTGGTAACTGTTTGCCAGGACACCCCAAAACCCTGAGAAGGGAATGAAGGCCACAGGCAGAAGGTGTTCTTTAAGAGACCAGGTGGGGAAGCAGAAAAGAGGGCTTAGTCAAAAAGTCCCCTCATGTATGTCCTTCCATCCCTCCTCTCTGGCTGTCTCTGTCTCTTGGTCTGTGGTAATACTTGAGCACGTGTGTACACCAAGGGGAAGAAGCCACTGAAAGGCTGTCGAAACTCAAGAGCAGGGCGACATCACATTGCTTCTGCTGGGCTCCACGTTAAGTCATTGTGGTTATTGTCTTAGCTCCTCTGTGCTATAGTGGTGAAAACATGGATGAATCTGTCAGTTAGGGAGTCAGTGGTCTTCACAGACACAGTGCTGTATCAGCTCCTAGGTATGCAAGAGAGTTGTGGGAAAATTGCTACTAAAGGTGTGTCTGATGTATCCTTGTCGCTGTCGGTTTGTTATGCCATTTCCCATTTCGTTCTCAGCTCGCTCTAACAAGGTAGGTATCACCCTCGGTTTCCTGATGAGGAGATAGCTCAGAGATGCCTTGTGACTTGTGTGAGGTTCTCTTGCAGGGGAGTTCCACCTGTGCCATTGAACGCGTTCAGTCTGAGCCTCTGCACTGTCCAGCTATTGAGGTCACGGGGGCTGTCCTGTGCTCTTCTTCCATTCCTGATGAGCCAGGAAGCTCTTGTTGCTAGATGGGCCCAAACACCAAACAGGGATTCCTGTTGCACCATCTGGGTTACACAGCACTGTGGAATAGGACACTGGTATGTGGAAGAGCCCGTCATGTGACGGTGATCCACATGTACAGCTATTGCTCAACCGATGACTGGGTATCATCAGTCTCCCTAAGGGCCTGGTGGGACCCCTTCCCTTCCTTCCATGAGTCAGCAGTGTACAAGAGACCATACAGGGCTGTCTTTATTGCAAAAGTGCCTTGTCTTACCCAGGTCAGGCTGCAAGTGGCTGTTGCCAGATAGACCTCCCCACAGCCTGGCACTGTATGTGCAGGTGCTGATAGGGAGAGGCTGCCAAGGAAGTCTTAGTTACAATAACAAGAGGACCTAGGATTTGATTATGACAGGAGATGCTTTTAATAGCATCCAATTAAAATAGTCATAGATTAGCCTATTGCTTTTTTATTTATATTCCTGAATGAGAGCTGTAGGTTCTGGGATAGGCCAAAAAAAAAACCATCGGAAATAAGGAGATCAAACTTGTTTAGCCGAGAACTCTGGGGCCAGCTTGCCTGCCACTTGGGGTTGCACAGATACGGCTCCCAAGGGCAGCATTTTTTCTAGCATTTTCACAAGTGGTAGAGAGTGCCAGACCTGCTCATCATGGGCATTCATTCGGGTATAGATGCCCACCAGGAGGGCAGGTAGCAAAGGGGACCAGGGGAAGTGGCACGCCTGTTACCTCAGGGCTCACTGCTCCCACCTTCCTGTCCCCACAGCCTTTCCGCTGTGCTCACTGTCATTACTCCTGCAACATCTCTGGCTCTCTGAAGCGCCACTACAATCGGAAGCACCCCAATGAGGAGTATGCTAATGTGGGCCGTGGGGAGCTGGCGGCTGAAGTGCTCATCCAGCAAGGTAGGTGAGGGGGCCATCCCAACACCAAACGGGTTCCTGGAACACTGTCTGAGCTACTCACACTGTGGAATAGGCCGGCCGCTGGCCTCTTGAACCTTAACTGCAGCCTGTGAACTCAGTATCAGGTTAGTGCCTCCTCTTTATTGGTTGTTCCGAACCATCCCCATTACTCACCAGCAAGCACCGGTTCATGCCTGGTCCATATTATGACAACAGTGGTGAGACAGAGAGGTGGCAGTGAGAAGCTGTGATCTCTGCTACCCCACAGCAGTGTTGTCATGCCGCTGCCTACCCTGCGTCTGCGCCTAACGCTTGCATGGTGGAAAGTTTGGGGCTTGTTTTCTGTATTCAACATTGATTGGCAGGAACACTTTGTTTTCCTTTGGTACAGTCTTCCTAGTTATAACTCCTAAGGGCTTTTGATAATACAGCATTGAATGTAAGTACTTAACAGTTCTGTTACTGAATAGGATGGAGTTTCTATGTCTTCTCTCTTTTTTAAAATTATAACTAATACTACTATAAATATATTTAAAAGTTGAACTTTTGAGGGATTACTTATAAAAGCATTTTGAGTACACAGGTTAATGATTCATCCTGAAAAACATCTTAGAACATTCAGTGAGAATAAATGAAAACTTCTAATAGTATTGAGAGGTTGGGGTGTTTTTCTATTTGGGGTTTTTGTGTTTTTCAATAAAGAAACACACGTTCCCACCGAAGACGATTAGTGCCTGTGTTACCACATAAAGAAGTGCCATCATATTATTGTCTACATTCCAGCAATTCAACTAAAAATGATTACAGTGTGTGACCTTAGTTGCTCCTCCTGCCTGTGAATATTTGAGGCTGAGGACAGTTTTAGAAACCTGTCCCAGGTTAACAGATGGAGGCTCGTGAGCTGTGCACAGCTGGGGATGTGCCGTTTTCTGAGTCAGCGCGAAGCTCCATTTGCTGTAATCGCCTAGAGATGCATCTCCATGTAACACAAATGAATTGTCTGTATCTAACAGCATTCCGTGGCAGAGCTGGACAGGAATAGATGAGCAGCTTAGAAATCTCGGGATCATTTCAGAGCCAGCCATCTGAGGTGTCAGTGTGCAAGAGAAAAAAGCAGGACTTTCGCATTTTCTTATGCAGCAGTTTTATGGACTTGAGATTAGGATGCTGCCACAGGGAGGGAGGATCTTCATTCAGATCTGTGTCCTTCTTCTTCAGCTCTATGGCCTTAGTCACCTAAGTCCATGTTGGGCCCTCGCTTGCACAGCAGCATCTACCATGAGGGTGGAGATGATGCAGTGACAGGGCACTTGGCATGCAGGACCGTGGCATGCCTAGCTCTACTTTTCAGAAAGTATCTCAGACTTCACGAGCCATTGCCTCTCCCAATTTCTGTGCTAGGGTTCAAACTCAGGGCTTTGTGTGTGCTACGCAAGCACTTTTGCCACTGAGCTGACCCCCAGAGCCCCCTCCCGTTGCATTTTTTATGACAATCATGTGAAGGAATCATGGGAGAAGAATGAATTAACTTAGAGTCACCATGAATAAGGAGTGGGAGGCTAGAGCCTCGTTTTCACATCCTTCACGCTCTTGGGTTAGATTGGCAGGAAACAGACATTTACTGTGTCTGGTGGGACAGGCCTGGGGATCTGATTGATGACGCTATCACTGCTCTGTGCTTCTAGACTTCTATCACCACCTTGCAAAAAATATGCTGAACTTGAACTGTTTTATGCTTAAGTTTTCTGTTAACTTTCTAAGGTTCTCTGTGATCATTTGGCATTTCCTGGCAGGACCTGGATTTTATATTTAATCTTTGAAGGGGAATGTTTGATATGTATCGTTTTCATATATCTTCATTCCCCCTTTCCCCCATCCCTTTCCGGGACATGTTGAAGAAGGAGACACTGAAGTGTCTATTGACTGTTAAGAGGCATTTGTTCTTTGGGAGAGAACAGTCTCTGAAGTCAAACAGCCAGTAGATTCTCAGCATGATTTTGCCATCTCAGAGCACAAGGCTCACAAGGCTGTTCTTATATCTGGGAGCACAAAAGAGAATGTGACACATTTCTTTAGAAATGGGTTGTTGGTACCACTGGAAATTTTAATCTTTTTTGATTAAGTAATTCTCCCCATATCTCGTCACAAAACATCTTCATGAGATTTTTATAATTAAACTCATAGATATGAAGGAAGATGTATTGAAATAATATCAAAAGCCATGCTTAAAATATAGGTCTTTCATTGGACTGGAGAGATTGCTCAGTGGTTAAGAGCAGTGACTGCTCTTGCAGAGGACCCAGGTTCGATTCCCAGTACCCACATGGTGGCTATGAACCATCCTTAACTCCAGTTCCAGGGGAATCCGAAACCCTCTTCTGACCTTTGCAGCACTGCATGACACGGTGCACTCACGTACATGCAGGCAATACACTCATACACATAAAAAAATAAAAATAATAAATAAAATATATGAAAAAAATACATAGGTCTTTCAAACTGACTTTTCAGACTGCTAAAACCAAACGCAGGGATTCCTTCTCTGTCTGCCATGTTTAAAAAGCACTGCACTGGGACACATGCAGGACCATCACTTGCTGTAAGACACTCCCCTGTTCCTGTAACAGAGGCATTCTAGGAAAGGTGCAAATGTACAGTATCAGTGTAGAGGTCAGACAGGCCTGAAACTTCCCATATCGCATGTTTGTGTTCTGTGTACGTTTATGAGGAATGGTACCCTGGTATTTTCCACATGGTCTGGGTTGTCTTCAGTGACAACCAGGAACAGCAGGGCTTGGGCATCTGTGAGTAGTTGTACTAGGAAGCTTTTAGCAACTACCTGTTCTGGAATGGGGAGGAGAATCTAATCCCTGTGGTACAAATACTTCCACTGTGGCTGGCTATTGTGCGCATAGACATTGGGAAGTGATGTGTGCATTATTTGACTTGTAAACTGGTGCACACTGGCACCAGTGTGGCTCTGCTCCCAAGGGCACAGGATTGACACTATGAGGTCCCTGCCAACAGGCCTTCCAGTATATAGTAACTCCCTCAGAGCTCTGGTACCGTTTGGTCATTAGACTTTTTATAAGTACGAGTACATAACGGTTTATTACTGGTTTATGTTGTATGTGCATCTCATATTTTGAAGGCCTATTCCTCTCAGGCCTCACTTATTTATAGGTTTGAAGCATTATCTCACGCAGTATGTTCCATGCTGTTTAAGGAAGACGTAGTCAGATTGCTTCCTCAGTCCTCCCCTCCCGCCCCGTGAAATATGCCTAATTAAGTTCCAAGACCAGTCAGCAAATCAGAGGCAGTGAGATGTTTAGATGCTTTGGTGCCAAACTTTATGAAGCCTTAGCTTCCTTCTAAGAGGTGTATAGTGAGCTAAAGGTAGGGCCTAGCAAAAGTCATTTTTCCAGGGGCCTCAAAGCATGATCTCCATTTCTCTGGATTCTCTGGAATGCACAGGGTTACGAGTCACACAGGCTTGGACTGGGGTCTCTGCTTGCTGTGACTCTTGGACTACTTTTCTTCCCTGAGCTTTGTTTTGCATTCAGAATCATCACAGTGGACTTCTAATACCTATCTCAACAGTAGTTGCAAAAATTAGATCTTATTATCTCTTCTTTTTTTTTTTTTTTTCAGGGGTCTCTCTGTAGCCCCAGCTGGCCTGGAACTTACTAGACTGGCCTTAATCTCACAAAGATCCTCCTGCTTCTGCTTCCCAAGTGCTGGGATTAAAGGCATGCGCCACCCCCAGCTTATTTTCCAGATATTTCCTGACCTGGAGTAAATACTTGATAAATGGCTTAAGTGTTTGTGTTTGTATACACATTTCTTTAAGCACATATCTCTTGAGCTCCTATAGTTCATCTAGCCTAATGCCACTGAAACTCCATGTTAAACTGAGTGATTTTATTGTCACTGCTGCCTAATTTGGGGGCTAGGCCTAAGCAGCTTCTTCCAGGGATCTTTGTTCAGCTGCTATGGATGAAAGGATTCAGCCTTTCCACCTGAGCCCAAGGTGCTGGCAGGAGGGCCATAACTTCCTCTCCCAGTGGCTCAGCCCTCTTTGTGGTCCCAGCTTTAGACTAACTGAAGTAGGATATGTAATTGAGACTAGAAAGTCAGTGACAGGAGGCACGTCAAAGAGGAGGCTTCATTTTTAAATTGAAATTTTACAAATTTCATACGATATGTTTGGATCATGTTTAGATGCCACTTTTCTATGTGCACTCTATTATAGTTCCCCTGCCAGATTTTACGTCCTGCAGTATATATTAAGGTCTATAAGTCAAGCTTCTGTCCCCTCATGTTCTTTGTCCCTGTGTGTACATCCAATGGAGCCTTGTTAACCTATCTAGAATCACACCCTTAAAGAAAACCAATTCTCCCTCTCCCAGTAGTTATTGGTTCCCAATAGTTCCTCAGCTAAGGTTGGGCCTCTTACTCACCTCCCTATTCCCATACTAGGATTTTGTCTGGCTTGAGCATGTGTGGGTCTTGTCATGCTATCACCATTGCTGTGAGCTCATATGAGTAACTTCCCAGCTATCTGGAAAACTGTTTTCTTGTGGTCATCAACCACTTCTGGCTCTTACAGTCTTTCCACCTCCCCCGTTTTACAATGGTCCCTAAGCTCTGGGTAGCAGAGGTTTGATATTGGTGCCCTATTCAGGGATAAGCATTCTGCATTCTCTTATTGTATGCACTTTGGCCATTTCATTGGTAAGAGTTGAGAGATGCATTAATATTCTTTCCACCCCCTGTTGCACTATGTTCCCCGAGCCTTAGATGTAGAGGTTGCAATTGTAGATGTGTCACTTAGGGCTGGGTACCTCACAGATGCTTACCCTCTGCATTTGACCAGTTGTAGAACTTAGTAATACTCTCCATCTGCTGCAGAAAGAAGCTTCTTTGATGAGTGGTGAGAGGTACATTTGTCTGTAAATGTAAGGATACATATTTAGAATATAGTAAGAAATTACATTGTCTAGGGATGTGACAGATGATGGTTTTTCTCTAGGCTCTATGACCTCTCCAGCCATGTGTATTTGGCTGTGCTTAGAGTACCATACATGTGTTCCTTCCCACTGAGTGGGCCTTAAGTCAAAATAGACAGCTGTTGATTACTCCCAAGACATAAGTGCCACTATTGCAACAGTAGAAAGTATTTGCTGGGCCAGTTGTTGTGGTTCATAGACTAACAGCTGGATAAGATCATTGATTGTTTGTCTACCTTTGCAGTTTGTATAATGTCTTCTGATAGTATAGGAGCTAGTCTTCAGGGAGGAAGCTTCCAGATCAGTTCCAGCTCCATTGCTCCAAGTCTTGTGTCCAAAGTATGGCCTGTCTTCAGCAATAGGGTCTTACCTTCAAGTTCTGGGAGGCAATTAATCAGTGCTGTGGCAATAGCCTGTGTGATTTTGGGGGAGTGTCTTGGACTACCCAACAACTCAAAGGGAAGTTTCTCATGTCTGGCACTCTGTGTTTTGTTCTATAGCCTTCAGTTACACACATATACTTGGGATGTCCGTGTCTTTGGGTGACCTAATGTTCTACCTAATGCATTCTGCTGCTTCCATAAGGATATGCGATTTTCTATTACATGTGAATTTTCCAGTAGGCTATTGGACTAATACATTTCCCTCTGTTTTTTATACCATGTAAGCATCATTTATCTCTCCCCTTTCCCCCTGGATCCCCCCATTCCCTCCCCAGTTAAAAATATCCCCATTTTCCTCATTTCTCCCATGATAACACTTATCTCCTACTACCCCCCCTTCTGTCAAGCTCATTGCTCCCCTTCATCCCCATGTCTCCTCTCCATTTTCCTGGCTTCTGCAGTTAAATCAGGATATATACTCACATCTAAAGAACCAGGATCCACAAATGAGGGAGAATATATGTTGCTTGTTTTCCCGAGTCTGTGTTACTTTATTTAATGTAACAACTTCTAGTTCCACACATTTACCTACAAATTTCATGGTTTCATGTTTCTTTACTACCAAGTAGAACTCCATTGTGCAAATGTACCACATTTTCCTCATCCATTCATCAGTTGAGGGACATTTAGGTTGTTTCTACTCCCTAGCTACTGTGAAAAGAACAGTAACAGACATGGCTGAGCAAGTATCTCTATAGTAGGATAATGAGTCTTTTGAGCAGATGCCATGGTGTCCTCAGCCGAACCACAGCTGCATAAGCTCTTTCCCATGCAGGGTAATGTGTTTCTGTGTTCCAAGACTTAGGATGTCCGTGTCTTTGGGTGACCTAATGTTCTACCTAATGCATTCTGTTGCTTCCATAAGGATATGCGATTTGGTGTTTTCACCTTAGTAGAAGAAACTCAGAGTGTAAGGAAGTCTGTTTGGGTCTCACAAGCATGATCTGCCTGCCTGCTTTGTGTTCCGTGCCATTCCTGGACTTATATTGTGGAACATGAAATTGAATTTTCCGTAATGTCAGACACTATAAAGAAGGCTGGTATTTGAATGCTTGTAAATCTTCTAGAATATACTGCATTCTATAAAATGATAGGGATGGCTTGATAGGTCCAGAGTTGCTCCTGAACTTCTTTCCTTTCTCCTGGTTAATCGCGCCAGGTGAGAAAATTGTGGTTTGGCTCAGCTCAGCTGAGCACTTAGTACCAGGACTGTAACTCATCAAGTCTTTTGTTGACCTTTACTGTACATTGCTAAGAATTTAATTAATCGAAATAGAAATTATTTCCCTCAGCTTTGATGTCAATTAACTAGGATAGTTATACATTCAACCTAGATTACATATTTCTATTTGTTGTTCTTTAATTAAAGTTGCTATGGCAAAGGTTGAAGTTTTAATTACTGTGGGGGCATTACCACATTAAGTTCAATTGAAACATAATATAAGGATGCTTTTCTTCCTAAATTAGCTTCCGTAACAGAGTACATCAGGAGTCTCCAATTTCATTGTGAAGCCTCTGTCTGACCTCAGGTAGTTGCTGTTGGCCAGTGCTGTGCTTAACTCCTTCCAGGAGAAGCAGGTCAGTCTAGCCAAGGGCCAAGGTGGAGGGCCTCCCTGGGGGAGGTGTTTGGAAGATGATCTTGGGAAAAGACAGCAGGACAGGTGATTAGTAAACAATAACAAAAAAGGTTAAAAAGAGGATTAATTATCCCCTGGCTATAAAAGAACAAGGCCATTTGATCTTGACTAGGAAGGCCCATTGTGCTTGAGATTTAGAAAATAAGCATCTTTCAAGTGTCTCTTTTGTAGACCGTTTGGAGTGTAAGCATTTGATGTCCCTCTCCAGTCTTTCTGATGACAGGTGTCACCTGGCTTTGCCCCTCCTGTCTTGCCCCTGCTGCTCTTGCACATTCCCAGGATCAGGGAACTGCAGAGCCAGAGCCCTGAGCTGAAGGTGGGAGGGGAAGTACGTTTGGCTTCCAGTGCTAATGACAGCGGAGTCAGCCGCATATCAGCTAACGGACAGGAACTCCAGTTATAGGGTGCTCTGAGCAGATCCCACTGACATGGGATTGCCTCAGAAGATGCCCTGCACTGTGACTGCATCTTCAAGAGGATCAAATTGTGCAGTGTATCCCTCTGAGATTTTCTGGTTCTTATAAAATTTGTCCAGAAAAAATCACCATCAGATCAGAATTCCTCTACTCCTTCCATGGTGTGCCAATGAGCAATAAATAAATATGGCAGACTGAGATATATCCACTCATCAGCACAGCTCTTCTGCTGCCTAAATACAGGCATCTCTGTGATTTGCTCAGCTCACATGGGTTTTAGAGAAGTGAGTCACTTTGGACATCCCTTAGCATGCATGTCAGTTGTGAAATGGCCTGTTTGTATACAAAGGACCAGGCACTGGTACAGGTTCTGAGTCTGAAAGATCTTGAAAGGAGACTGAGGGAGTCATACTACCCAGGAACAATTTGATGGAAAATGTGACCAGCATTGTTGTTTAGTACACAGAAGTAGAGCTGGTCCCTGCCTGGGGTTAAGGGAAATGTTACTTCAGAGTCCGAAGCCTTTGTGTAAAATACAGTAATCATGCCAGCTTTGGGCTGTTGTGAGAAAGCATGACTCCTGTTTAGGATGTTTGACATGTGCCTAGCAAACAGGACGTGTTACTGCTGGTGGTGATGGTGGTGGTGATAGTAGTGATGGTGGTGGTGGTGGTGGTGATAGTAGTGATGGTGGTGGTGGTGGTGATAGTAGTGATGGTGGTGGTGGTTGCTACTAGGAGTGAAATAAACAATCCTCATTGACTTAATGACTGATCTAGGCATGCACTATGTCAGATATGGGCCTGGGGGGGCACAGCTTGCCATGACAGGAGATAGGATGAAAAGAGCTCACAAGATAGTATTAGATTAACATTTCATTTCAAGGACAAACAAAACCAAGAGAGTAGAGACTAGTTAAAGAAAGGGGTGGGCAAACTCTCCTTATGAGGTTAATGTTCAGTTTCATTGCCCATGATTCCGAGATCCCAGGACATGGTGTAAGTGCGGCAATGAAGAGGAGACCCGACTGGTAGAAGAAATATGGGGCAGACTAGGGCAGGTGGCAGGAGAGGGAAAGGCCAGGAGCTTAGTATGGGAGCATGCACTACTGGAACTACACAGTCACCAAGCTGCAGAAACCCACTGGGGGGCTTCAGTGAGGCTGCCAACTGCCTGGGTCCAGCCCCATATAGAGACTCAACTCTGACCTGGAAAGTTGGGTACCCGGCACCAGGACCACAGTTGGCCCCTGCATCTGGAGCTTGCTTCTCCTCCTAGGAGGCTAGGGTCCAGTCCCCAGTTTAGTGATGCTTCTGGTACAATTTTAGAGAGACAGTCTTTTCTGTGACCTTAGTTTTTTTGTTCTTTACCTTGAGTTTTACATCCTCCTAATTAAAGCGTCCAAACACTTTCTGGAACATGTGCAAAATTTAATCAGTTCAATAAACAGTGACACTTCGGGATGTGACCAGCTTTTTAATTTATTCTTTACTAGGAAACTCACAGGAGAATTTGTACCTGTGACTTAGCTTCTCATGGAAGGGACCTGAAACTCTAACTCTTGATTTTAAGCATTTGGAGGCAAAGGAGATTGACAAAAGCAGCCACTGGTCTCCAGTGACTTTAAAAAAAAAAAATGTTACTTACAGATAACAACATGAAAGGTTGATTTTATCCACTTACCTACCTGGTCATGGGTTATGTTACTCATTTCTCTGTGGCATTTGAAATATCAGGCAGGTATTGGGCGCTCTGCAAAGGCAAATTAACAAATAAGGAAAGCGTATTAGGATTTAAAAGCTCAACCCTAACAAGCATATACACTGTTGTTATTATAGTCCAGTACAAAGGTAAGCTTGGGTTAATGTAAGTGCTAGAGACAAAATCATGCACTTTTTAGACCCAAGGCATTTGCCTAGACAGAGGAATGGCCTTGCTTTTATTTGCTGTGAACACCTCCTTTTACCTGTGTGCCCTTGCAGGTGGTCTGAAGTGTCCTGTCTGCAGCTTTGTGTATGGCACCAAATGGGAGTTCAACAGGCACTTGAAGAACAAACATGGCTTGAAGGTGGTGGAGATTGATGGAGACCCCAAATGGGAGGTAACATCTTAGAGTGTAGTATGATCTTGACACATGTGACTAGCCAGGCGACAGTCAACTCTCGCCAGCACTGGATGTGTTGGTTGGAAAACATCTGCAGCCTTGGGTTGAATTAAGACTCTTCTGTGAATGTTTGCAGTGTCAGCTCTGATGTTTCATGTCTCTTCACAAACCCCATTTTGTATGTCGCATCCTGCAGAACGGAAAGTGAGGGCTGTGTTGCTCTGCTCACTGAGAAAACTGGGAAGAGCCCCATTTCCTGATTCTAGACCTGCTTCTATGAAAGGCTCCTGGCCCTACCCTCTGACTCGGCTTTTCCCTCAGGAATTGGAACCAGGCACCATTATGGAAGTCAGCAGCTTTCCTTCTTTTCAAATGCCAGGTGTCACTACTGTGGACTGATTGCAGTCACTTAAAGCAGGGCTTCTCAGACTCAGCCCTACTGATGTTTTGATCTTGATAAGTCTTAGTTGTGGAGAGCTTTCCTGGACCTTATAGGATGTTTAGCTGCATTTATGACCTTTTCCTTCTAGACACTAGTAGCGTCACCTCACCCCTACCGCCCACTGAGACAACCACAGTTGTTTCCAGACACCACCAGTGTTCATTGTTCTCCAGCAGGTCTCAGTCACCCACAGCTGAGCACCTAATAGTTAGGAGTGAGGGCTTTGAAATAATTCACAGCAAACAACGATAGTAATAGTAACAGTAATAGTAATAGTAATACCACTATTGCAATGTGGAGATTATTTTGAAATTCAAGGGAAGGATGGATCAGTAGGAGGATATATACTAATAGAACTCACCCTGGTAATAGAACTAGGGAAGAACTAATCATCTTTATAAATGCAGAAAAGACATTTGACAGAATTCAACATCCACTTATTATATACAGTAGAACTTAATGGGGACACCTTAAAATGACAAAAATGTATGCGTCTCAGCCCCAAAGCCATTATCTTTATTTGGAAACACTCAAGAGTTTCCATTCAAGTCAGAAACAAGACAAGGCTGCCCAACAGCTCTGTTAATCATTGACACTGTTGGGGCCTTTGGCTAGTGTGGTTGGAGAAGGCAAAGCAAACCGAGGCAGCCCTCAAAGGGAAGAAATGAAGGTGTGTTTTCATATTGTTGCATATGCGTGTCTTTGCATGTACTTGGAAATAAACTCTGATAGGATTATATTTTGGGGGATCCAAAAAAATAAATGAAAAGTTACTAAAAGTAATAAGCAGAAAATTAAAAGATCAGTAACAGCAATCCATAGCATATGTAAGTATGAGATGGCTCAGCGGTTAAGAGCACTGCAGAGGACCCAGGTTTGATTCCCAGCACCCACATGGCGGCTATGAACGATCCTTAACTCCAGGTCCAGGGGAATCCGAAGCCCTCTTCTGACCTCCATGGCATTGCACGACACAGGTGCACTCACATACATGCAGGCAATACACTCATACATATATGTCCAAAGTATAAATGGTGAAAATCATCAAGTGCTCTGGAAAGAAGTATAAGTTTTCAGGTGAGCACATGCAGACGCATTCATCATACAAAGCGTGAAGCACCCTGAAGGTGACTCATGGCACACCTCATGAATGGAGCACAGCCAAAACTAAAGTATCATCGTCCTGTTTTCCCTAGAGGTATTTAAACGGTTACTAAAATCAATTTACAAGAACAATTATGAATAGCTGGAAACACTGGGATGATTGGTGATGGGACAGAACCTAGCAGGTATGGGAACATGCCGTCAGACCCTTCTTACCGCAATAGCTTGGCGCTTATACCTGAACTGATGGTCCAATGGGACATATAGAACATTCAGAGAAGACCAGGGATCCATGGGGGTGAGGGGTGGCAAGGTGGCCCATTGGGTGAAGCACTTGCTGTACCAGCCTTGTAGTCTGAGTTCTATCCCTAGAACCCACATCAAGGGAGAATGAGAGCCAGACTCACAGCATCATTCTCTGACCGCCACATGTACACTGTGGCATGCACATGCCCATATACATACCCCTCCCAACACACACAAACACACACGCACACACACACACACACACACACACACACACACACATTAAATTCAAGGGCAGGGCATGGAGAATGTGAAGACAAAAGGGTGAGCTTTGGAATGACAGACTTTGAATCCTGTCTTTGTCATCTACGAACTCTGACCATGAGCCATTGTTTAACCATTGGGAGCCTATGTGTTACGTGTTCTCACCTGCAGCAGGCTAGTAGATTGAGAGGTTGAAAGGACTGAGAGAATCCAAGCTCTGTGTGAGCCCTTGTTGGTGATGATGATGCCCTCAGTGCTCATGTTCATACTGCAAGAATTTGCTCTCTGTTAAAGAAATAGACACCGGAGTGCCAGTTCATCAGGCGAAATCATTCCATCTCAGTCAGTTCCTATTTTTATACGTACATGCAGTAGTGTCCTTGGTCCTCTAAAGGCCTCACTTTCAGCAAATTCTAGCACTAGCTGAGTCATGACCACTCCACTCCCCAAATAATTCGCACAAAGCCATGTACTAGACTCTCTATTTAAGAAGGTTAAGTGGCCAGGAAGCTTGGCACAGGGTGGGCACCCACGGACTAGCACACTGCCTGTCCTGGGAGTTTGGGCTGTCACTTATCTCCTAGGAAAGCCTTGTGGAGATCACTGTCCTTACTGAAGCTGAGTGTTATCTGGATTCCCAGATTGGGAAGGCCCTTACACAGACTGAGGCATTGCTTGGATCCAGAGTTGGCGAATATGTCGATGGTACAAAGGAGAAGTGTTCTTTTTGCTCATTCCTGCATTCATCAGATATTTATTGGGTGTCTAGTACCTGTCAGGCTGGGATAACCTAAATGAACTTGGCCAGTTGGCTGTGAAAGGGCAATTACATGCTACTCTGGAACTCTGTGTCAGTTACTGATGAATGTTGAAACTTTGGCCAAAGTCTGCCTTTTTGTTCTTTTTTATTGATGAGATTCATGGCTCTTACCTTATAGGTCTGGTTGTCTTCTTCCCAGAATGAGGTAATTATTGATAATTAGCCCCGTCAATATCACCTCTTGTCTCTTGGTTGTGTGAGGTACTTTTGAATGTATCTTCAGCCACTCCTGCTGTCCCATATTCTGATACTGCAACATATGTTTTATAGAGTTGACTTCTCTCCATGTCCTTCATACAGTGATGAAGTTGATGTGAATAGCTGCAGTTCACTGGAGTCTTACTGCATGCCAGGACCTGTGCTTTACATGTCAAGTTATTCCCTTTCCCTACTTTCTACCGTGACTGCTCCTTTGCCCCTGTTAGACACATGGCCAGAAGCCTTGGTGTGAGGGGTAGATTAGAGGGAGTGTTGGTGGTAGTGAGAGGAGACAGAGAAGCCATAGAAACACATGCTCAAGAGTACAGAGTATGGAAAATCTTCATATATATATATATATATATATATATATAATGTACATGTAGATATGAAATATTGACCTTTTTAAATTTCATACAACAGTTCCCAAACACATCCAGGCCCCCTTCCCCATCCATGCCTCCCCATCCCCCCACTGAACCTCATGCACTTCACCATACATGCTGAGTCCTATTCATTCAGGTGTTTGTACCCAAATGTCCTTCAGTGTGTGTCCACTGGAGTCTAGCCAGTGGTCGTATGTAAGCCATACTCTCCCTCACCCAGCATCAATCAGTCTTAAATATTTCTCGATCTAGTGCTGACCCACCACCTTTTTCTCATCTCCCCTTTGGGCCCTTGTTTAATTGAGCTGACATGGGTCCCGTGCTCGATGCCACCACTATCACATAAGCAAGCCTCCAGTGGCCTGGAAGCCTCTACCTCTTTGTGTTCGTGAACCAGCCCTGGCTCTTACAATCTTTCTGCCTTTTCTTCCACGATGGCTCCTTGAGCCATGGGTGGGCAAGGTTCCATATAGGAGTCCCACCCTACACTTTACAGTCTCTTATTCTCCAAAACTTGGCCAGTTGAGGCCTTCTGTGTGCATTGCACTCTGATGTACAAGGAAACCTCACTGGTGAGAACTGAGGGGTGCATTAGCCCTTTCTCTGCCCATTATTCCACTATGTTCATGAGCCTTAGTTGAAGAGATTCAACTGCAGATGGCTCACCTAGTACTGGGCATCTCCCAGGCATATGTTCTCTGTGCCTGACGAGATGCACAACTCTGCAGTAGCCTCCATCTTTTGCAAAAAGAAGCTTCTTTGATGAGTGCTATACAGCATTCTTGTCTGTAACTATAAGAATCAATATTTAGCATATAGTAAGCATATTTCATTTGTCTTGAAATATGAAAGAGATAGGGTTTTCTCTAGGATCTATGTCCTCTCCTGCCATGTGTATTTGGCTGAGTTTACAGTGCCACCCATGAGTTCCCTCACATTGAGAAGGCTTTAAGTCCAATTAGATAGCTGTTGACTGCCCCCCAGATAAGAGAGCCACTACTGCACCACTAGAGGTAGTTTGCCGTGCTGGTTGCCTTGGTTCTTAGGCTTCAGGGCTGGGATGGACCATTGATTGTTATTCTTTGGCAGTTTGCATATTATCATCCAGCATTATGATAGCCAAACTTCTGTTAGAAGGCTTCCAGGTCAGTTCCCGCTCCATTGTTTCAAGTCCTGCGTCCCAGGTATGTCCTTTCCTCAACAGCAGGGTCATAACCAAGGTTTGGTAGTATCCTGTGTTATTTTGGGAGTCTCCTGGACCACCTCCACCTACCACTCTAAGGGAGGTTTCTTCTGTCTGGAACTGCGTTCCCTGCCAAGCAGCTCCCAAGTATACATATGCATTAATGTTCAGCCACTGTCTTTCTTACAGACACCATGCTTCATTCCCTGCTGTGAGCAGGGGAGCAAGAAGCTACCACCCAAAGCGGATTCGCAGAGTCTTGATCTAAAGAGAAAATGATCACTTTGTGAACTGTTTGTTGGAGCAGGTGGCTTCTCAGGAGTGTCGTGTCAGTGAGGTGTGAGGTGCTGATCACCTGTGTTTGTCTTATTCTGCAACTTGGAGATAGCTGTTAATCTTTCAGAGGATGCTGAGGCGTGATGTTTTCCTTTAGCCAGCAACAGAGACTCCTGAGGAGCCTTCCACCCAGTATCTTCACATCACAGAGGCTGAGGAGGACATTCAAGGGACACAAGCAGCTGTGGCCGCACTTCAGGACCTGAGATACACCTCTGAGAGTGGTGAGGGGACAACTGGCTTCCTTTGTCACTAAAGTGCTGATCTTTACATGATATATGAACTTTTGAATGAAGTCCATCCATTGACCCACCACAAACCCAGGGACAGCAGCAGCTTGGCTATCTTCCTTTATAAATGTTCCAGAGTGAACCCAGCATGGGTGGGGCCTCGTAACGGGTTGCAAGACTTCCCCACGTGGATCACACAGCACTAGAGCAGTGTGAGGCCAGGTCTTACCAATCTTACTTGACAGATATGTAGGTGGCTTCCACTGCACATGGTTGGAGAGGGTCCCTCACTTATATAACAGAGCCATTCATGGAGTCTGGTTCTCTTGACTTTTCTCAGAGCAGTCCCCTTCCATCTCGTGTTTCATTATGGCTTTCTGTTCCAAGGGACTCATTCCAGGGGGTGTAGGGTCCAGGTAGGCAGCAGCGGTAGGTAGCTGAGGCTGTGTGTGTTAGTGGGCTACCCCAGGGCCACTAACCTACACCTGTGTGCTTAGGATCACTCATCTCTCTCCTTTCTTTCCCTAAAGCTTACATCCAATGTAATGATTTTTAAAGTTTGATCATTTGAAAACTAAACCCCAGTGACAGTTGGGGGCCTTGTTACTGGAAACAGCTTTGCCAGTGCTTTGTGAGGACCACAACCCATATGTATTTGGAGACTGATCAAGCATGCAGGATTAAAAGGAAGACATTAGGTGGAAGCTAATGGCGATGGAGATGAGAGTGTTCCTGTCCTGTCCTTAAATCCCCATGTCTCCGAAGCACCTGTAGGCCAGTCAGTCTATGAGAGAGTAATTGGTAAGGCAAGATTTGCTGCCTGCCAGGCTAGATGGAACTGGGAGGGGGCAACTCCTCCACTTTTGCAGGTGGGAGAGTTAAAATTGGGCTGCTGGATATGGTTCTCAGCTCCGAGTTCCTGTCTGAATTCAGGTCTGTCCTTGCTGCCCAGTGATGTCAGTGATTGCAGGAGACCTGCAGATTGCAGCCTGTTTTCATTCTCATGAGCACATACCCTCTTACCCTCCAGGGGTTCCTTGAACCTTCAGTACTGTCTCACCTTTGCAACTCAGCAAGCCAGACCTGCTAAATCACCTCCTGCTGGTTGCCTGCTTCTTGCTGCCTGCCCCTGAGCGTAGTGCCCGGCCAGATTCTGCAGTTATCAATATGGACTGCATTTCTTAAGTCTGTGTATTGCCGGGTACCCTGTGATATGGTCTGGTGCTTTTCCCCCCACTACACTTCTCTACTCAGCTCTCCAGCACTCAGATTGCATGTCGTGTACTGGGATTCTATAAGACTTTTTCTATGTGCTCCTCCTAAGGGCCCTCCAGAACCATGTGCTATAATGAGTTGCTTACATGTGGGTCTCAGGAGCCTGTGAGCCCAGTAAGAAGGGGGGTGGAGGTTGTTCTAGATCTTTATTTGCATCCCCAGTGGGAACCATAGCTCTTGGCTAACTTATAGTTGGGCTAGATAAATGATCACTGAGGGAGGGAGTGGAGGAGGAATTCATCTAACCTCAGTGACTCTTCAAGGTAAACATTTTAGTCTTTGGAAGTTAGAGTGATTACCTGCAAAGCACACCTGATTCATCTTTTCCTAGGACGTAGGTGGGCATGGCTGTGGGATGGGGGTTGTGGTGTGATACATTGTAAATATATGAAAGTAACCATCTCTGTCTGATGCCATGTTCTACCTATCTCATGGAACATGTCAGGTTCTCTTTCTCTGATCCACTGGTTGTTTCACATTGGCAAATAGCCTGCCCATGAGGGTGTAAGCATTGGCAACAACTTTGTGACATTATGAATCGTGGAGAACAGGCAGTTATTTCCCTTTTAGTAAACAGTGATCTGGGTGAGAGTGTGCTCGAGGATTACAGATAGGCAGCAGATGTTGAGAAAGAGCAGGAAGGGTGTGCCAAGTCCCTGCCCTGATGATGTGGTCCCAGTCTTTTGACAAGAGTAAAACAGAAACAAGCTTAAATTGGTTTGTAGTTTAAAAGTCCTCTGACTGGACAAGTGAGACATCATTGGAGGCTCTGCCTGTTGCCTGTCACACTTTAAATGACCATCGACCCTGCCCTCAGGAGAGGCCAGCTCTTCAGTTGAACGTGCCAGTTGGTAATCCTCAGGAGTGGCAGTTTGTGTGACAAAGTTGAGATTCCGTTCATCTGAGTGTCAGTTCTAGGCTTCTGATGTCAGTTCCCTGGTAGCCTGAGGCAAATCTCTGCTTTCTATGCCAAAAAGCCCATCAGCAAACTAGGGATCATACCATAATGCCATCTCCTCATGGTTGCTGCTGGGCCTTGAGAAGTTCATGTAGGAAATGCTTGGTGAGATATAAAATACCAAGCAAATTATTTTTCTCATCTGAATGAGTGGTTACGTAGAACCTGTGCACCCCTTGGAAAAGGCATCACCCCAAAGTCTTCACATCTAGGGTTTGGTTTGGCATTGGAAGCCATTCACTGCAGCGGCCTGGATAGTGTCCTGTCTACCTCTTCCCCATAGGTGATCGTCTTGACCCCACAGCTGTGAACATCCTGCAGCAGATCATTGAGCTGGGCGCGGAGACCCACGATGCCACTGCCGTTGCCTCTGTGGTTGCCATGGCACCTGGGACAGTGACCGTTGTGAAACAGGTAAGGCTTTCTGCTTTGAAATATCTGTCTCCTCCAGCCCTGCCCATCTGCCCTCTTTTGTTTTCAGAACTTTAGCCTGTCTAAGGTCTGGAGTGTTTCCTTATGAACTGTCCTTGTAAAAGAGAATCATCACTCTAGAGAGGCTGGCTAGCCTCCAGTGGGTGAACTTGCACTGAGGGACATCTGGGTGCAATGCTCTACCAGATAGGACTTAACATATATGACAATGCATGAAATCTGGTTGGGGGCAGTTATAGGGCAGTACAGATGGGGAAGGGGGTCTAAATTTGATTAAGATCTATTATATGAAATGCACAAAAACTCAGTATAAGGTATTAAGAAAAAAAAAGAGAAACATTACCTATTTAGATCCACAGAGGAGATGAAAAAGATGATGAGTTTTGGATAAGAAGTTCTACAAAATTGTCACAGTTCTCCATTCGTTTTCTCCTCTTTTCTCAGTAGATGCTTTACTGTCTGTTTGAATATTGTATATTTGATAATCAAAGCATCATCTCTGTCTGCTTAAACCTGCCTTTCCCTCTGTCTCTACTTCATCTTTTGAAAGATTTAAGCTAGCTTACACAATTACTTTAAAGACAGAAAACAAAAACAGAAAGCACATCAGAGCCAGAGAACTATAGGATTTCATGTCAAAGTTCAGTTTAAATACTGACCATTGACTTTTACATGGCTGTGTTTTCTCTTACTGACTCATTGGGTCTTTGTTGAATACCTGTTGTTGCCAGTCAGTTTTCTGGTTATTGGAGTTCCAGGAAGGAACTAATATCTGCCATCAAGGTGGGTACTACTCTGTAGTGCGGGGAAAGGATTAAACAGGAATGGCAGACACATGCAGTGGAACCAAGTAAATCAGGGAAGGGGACGGTGTGGGGCCATGAAACTGTGGGCTGAGGCTGTTTTCATAAAGGGATGTTGGGAAAGATTTCTCTGAAATTTGAAGAGAAATTTAGATGTAAAATTGGCACTGAGTTTTCTAACTGCAGATAAGAAGGAAACAGGAAACCAGGAAACAGTTAATTTAAAGAAAAAGTTGTATTCTTTGCACTAACAAAGATACTTCTTAGACTGACTCTCATGTATGATCTCTCCAGTAATGTGTTCCAGACACTTGCCTTTGAGACTGTGGAGGTGTCGCTGCTGTTTGCATAGCTATACCCCTAAGTGTGTCCAGTGCCCAATTCATAGTATGAAATTCATGCCAAGTAATTCTCTGGGGACAGTTAGAACATTCTGCTTTAATACTGGATTCCTTGATCTATAGACAAGACTTATCCTGTGGTGGAATGTTTGAATTAGGTGCCCTAAAACCCTTCTTCCAGACAGAAGTTTCTCTCCAGGTCTTGGAGAGAAATTGGACGCCAGAAATTAGGATGCTTACATCTGCACTGACCTGGTTGAAAACACATCCAAGCGTCTTAGTTTTGATTGGCATTGGCTAGGCTGCAGTCTTCAGATTGTCTTACAGTCTTGCGGTAGATCTGGCACAGGGGCTAATTGGGACAGTATTAGGAGAGTTCCGCATATTTCACACTTGCCAGATGTTTAGAGACTATAGCAGGTGCAGCTCATGATGATTTGTATCTTCTGTCTATGAACAGCATTGATTTGCTGCTACTCAGGGACATGATTTATTGAGTGTCGCAGGCAATACAGTGATACGTGAGGTTGCGGTTTAGGATCCTGCTTAGATGTGCTTCTGTCCATTAGACTCACAGCTCGACACTGGATGAGGCAGATAAGCATCAGTACAACAGTGTAAACAAGTGAAAGTGTTCATGGGGGAGGAAGCAGTGGTGTTCCTGAGAGAACCGTCTTACTTACTGTAAGCACAGAGGCTCACGTGGCACTGTTGAACAGTCAGCGAGGAGCTGCATTTGGAAATGTTCCCAGGAATGCAGTGGCACAGTCATTATTATCTCGTGTGTCTGGCTCAGCACCCAGCTCTCAGTAGCTGTGACACATACTGGATAGGAGAGTAGATGGCTGGATGGTCAGATGACATTAAACCTGCCCACCCCTGTAACAGAGGGACCGAAATGTCCCAGGCTCCTGTAGCGAAGGAATGCCCTCTGATCCAATTATCCCGTCATTTGCTTTTAATTCAGCTGTTTTTATTGGATGAATTGATTTTTTTCTTTTAATTAAGCCCCGGCTTAGGATTTTTTTCAGTCAGGAAATTACATGTGCTAATGAGACTGCTGAGCCACTGATGAGTTCTGCAGCACCGGCTAGGAGGCACAGCACTGCCCTTCCACCATATAAGGGACATAGGACCTTGCTGTTGGGGACTTCCTCTTCCTCCACACAAGCTGCCACCCAAAGAAACTGCCTAATAAATATTAGCTAGTCTTGACTGTACTGTGGGTTTCATGTGATTCTCGTCACCTCCTAGAAATCAGCACTGAAGAGAGAAAAACAAGAATGCCTCCTAAAGCACGCGTGGTAATGTTGCATGCAAATGTTTTAAATTACAAAATGGTTAAAAATAGGTACTCTATTTTATCTTCTTAAAAGTTTTTGATGCATCCTTTACAGGACCCAAGTGGATTTGAGGTTGTATATGGGTTAGTTCCCCCCACTCTCTGTGTGTGTGTGGTTTATGCCTGTGTGTACAGGTCTGAGTGCCTACATGTATGCCTGTGGGGATCACAGGTTGGCATCTGATGTCCTCCTAATGACTTGACTGATCGACCTTGAGCCCCTGGAATCCTCTTTCACCTGCCTCCCAGCACTGGGGTTATAGGGATGCACTGCCAACACCCTGTTTATATATGTGTGCCGAGGATCTGAACTCAGGTCCTCATGCTTGCATGGCGGGCACTTTACCTCTTCAGCACGTATGACTTCATTCTTGATATCAAAAAAAGTCAGGTTTTTTTTTCCAGACAGAATAAGTCATTATGTACTGTTTATAATTTTATTTTTCTGATTCACTAATAGTAATTGTATTGACTTCATTAATTGTATCAACTTCAACATTGATAATTTATTAGTTTTCCATTGCTTTGGCTATGAGGACCCCAAATACTTAGACATACTTTATTCTGCACCTGCCTGTGGAGAGTGCTTAGTGTATTAAATAAGGTTTGCTCCCCTGGCTGTGGATGGGCTGCACCCCGAAGGTTGAAGTCCGATGGGACAAAGAAGATGATGTTGTGGTTCTGATACTTGAGAAGAGAGAAAAGTGACAGGAAATCACTGAAGGGTTGTTTCTGTGTCCAGTGAGGAAATTTAGACTGTCTACTTGTGGGTCAAATATTTCCTCTGTCACTTTGAAAAGCCAGAAGCAAACTGAGAAACAGTTTTTGCTCAGCACCTTCCTTATCCCATCAGCTCACGGGGTGAGGCCCATCCACAACTAGGGAAGGGAAAAATCTTTAGTTTACCAACTTATATATTAATTTCTTTAAATTTTTAAAAGTTTTATATATTAATTTCATCTAAACACATTCCACAGACACCTGCAGAGTAAAGTTTGTCCAAATATCTCAGTACCCCATGATTAGTCAAACTGACAAGTAAATTTTACCATCACTTACTCAGGAACATTACAATGTGAGGGACTCATGGTCAGGAGATCATTGCTTACTTCAGGGATGGAGCTCTGAAGTACCCTAAAGATGACCTTGACTTGCAGAAGTCATGGTGATTGTGATTCCCAAGATCATAGTTCTGTCACTGTTGATGCTATGACTCAAAGCTTAGGAATGGCTGGGTTTTACATGGCCCTGAGAGGGTCATAGCTGGGGAGATGCTAGCACAGCCACAGTGACCAGTGGTTTACTGATTCCCCTCTCAAGCACAGATCACACAACTGTGGTTAGCAGTGGTCTGTTGGCAGGTCTGTGTCTGTGTCCCTGGATCCAGTGTAGCATGGTGACTTACCGCCCTCCCATTCCTGGTCTCATCAGTACTGCTGGCATTTCCACTCTTCTGTTTGTTTTCACTTGATCTTGATCTGCTTGATCTGTCCGATGTTTTCAAGCTGTTTGTTAATGCCTTGATGACCCAGAACGCTAGAAAGATCAGTTACAGCTGCCCCCACCCCACCACCTCAGCCTGGTGTGGCTCTAATCTGCTTGAAAATCCCAGTACTCCTTCCACATGCCCAGCTGAAGATCAAAAATGAAAAGGCAGATGCTGTGCTGAGTGTGCCCCCCAAGCTCATGTGGAAACTTAATTGCCATTGTGTCAGTGCTGAAGGTGGATCCTTGAGAGGAAACTGGATCTGGGGCTCCACTTCCCTGAAGAAGTAATAATCACTATCTCAAGAGTAGAAGAGTGGATTTTTCATTTGAGATTTTCTGTCTCTATGTGTCTCTGTCTCTCTCTGTCTCTGTCTCTGTCTCTCCCCCCCACAGAGAAAGAGACAGACAGAGAGGGTGGGTTTCAACCTCCATTGGTGTAGCAGCTCTGATCTCAGTAGACTGCCAGAGAGTGCTGAGTTCTGGCTTCCCTCTGGCATAAGGGCTGAGAATGCAGGGGACTGCCTGAGAGTGTCCAGATCCTGCTTCCATGTGGTGGTGAACTCCCCCTAATTGCGCCATACCCATCCCCTTACCTGGGATTTTGTGAGGCCCCTCCCAAGGCCCCAGGGCAGATCTACCTTTGGTGGACTAAGGCTGAGATCCTAGCAGACAGCCTGAGATGGTGAGTTTGGCTCTGATCTCAGGAAACTGCCAGAGTATAGAGTTCTGGCCTCCCTCTGGCAGAGGGCCTGAGACTGCAGGGGACTGCCTGAGAGCCCTCAATCCAATCCTGCTTCCATGTGGTGAAGGAAGCCTGAGTGTACCTGACTGGAACCTGAACTGGGTTTCTGTGGGTACTCCTGAATAGCTGATCTGAAGCCATTAGTTCCCTAACCTGAGAGAACCTAAGACTTAGACCAACCAGCTTTACATAACCAATAAGAAAAGGACCAAGGCACACAGAATACAAACAGAAGCATACTTCAAATTAATTCTCATATCAGAATC